CACGCAGCCACCAGAAGCTCTTCCTTGAATCTGACTTAGGTCCTTCATTACACCTTCGTTCTCCAGGTGATACTGTCTTCACAAGGAGAGCCTGTACCTCACTGCTAGCTCGGCGCCTACAACACGGCAGGCCGAGTGCGTCCTTGGGAATTAAGGGCCTTCCTCTGGCTCAGAGAGCACAGTCTGCCCCATTTCCTCAGGGGACGGGCCTGCCACTCACATTCTTCGTGCTTCCTGAGTGCGTACTGGGCGGGGGGACGTGTCCGGCATATCATACACTTTACACACATTTTACCACTGTGGGCATTATTATTCCCACTTTACTGGGAGAAATAATGAGGCACAGGAAAAATAGCCACATGTGTATCTGAGGCTGAGACTGAAACTCAACTTGACCCAAAGCTAGACAGAGGTCTTGCCCCTCAGTAACCTGACATCTGCCGCCCTATGGCCAGGCTGACGGCCAGCTAGAGAGCCTGGGGCCCTGCGTCCCACACACCCCCTCCCCCGGACTGTGCGACTTCACCACACGCCATCACAGGCAGGAGCCTCTGAGCCGGGCACAAACCACCCAATGTCCCTGGCAGCGCAGCCTACTTGGTGGGAATGGAAAGTGGTCATGTATGTCCAAGGGCCTGGTGCCAGGTGGGACTGGACGCAGGGTCCATGAACACAGAGGTCCTTCCTCTGCTCCTAAAGACCTTGCTAGCCAGCCCTGTGACCTTGACCTCTGGGCACAGGGTGCACAGGAAGCTGGAGTGAAAACAGCTCCTCAGAGGTTGCCCTGGAAACGTCAGGGACAATTATCTGAGGCCCAAGGGCAGGGCTGAGTAGGAAACTGGAGGGAACAGTGGGGCCAGCCACCCCGAGGCCACTGTGCCACTGGGAAAGGGAGAAACGGAGAGAAGCTAGGTGGTCAGAGCTGCAGGACACCCCACCCCCCACCCCCAGCCCAGGGCCCAGCCTCCTGCTCTTCCCACCTTTCTGCAATGCCCAGACCCAGTGGGGGCCTGAGGAGGGTACCACCTACATAGCATTGGCGGTGACCAGAAGGTCGGCATTGTCAAAGAGCGTTACGCCGGGCACCTCGACGACGAGCACGTATATGAGCTCGATGGCCAGCATCAGCACCAGCTTCCCGATGCAGCTGATTTGCAGGAACACGGAGCAGGCCAGCAGGCTCAGCAGCACGCTGTAGGTGAAGTACTGGGGAGAGAGAGCAGCAAGCCCCCCAGCATCTTCGCCTAGGGATATTTCTGCTGATGCAAACCTGTGGTGTGATGTGAAGGGCCCTGATGAGGAACCAGGAGATGGGGCTCCCTCCGGGCTGGGTTTGACCAGCACTGTCAGCAGGGCCCATGGTTAGAGCACAGCTCCAGGCTCAGGACGACTGGAGTTACATCCTGATTCACTATGCACTGTTTGTGAGACTTGGGCCATGTACTCAACCTCTCTAAACCTCAGTTTCCCTGTTTGCAAAAGCCCCTATCTCATGGGCACACGGTGACGATGACCCGAGATGAGTGATTTGGGGCAGTGCCCCGCACCCCCAATAACTGTGGGGATCACAGGCCCCAAACTCCCGATTTGCAGCTTTAAATCCAAAGCTCTAAAAACTGAACATGTTTTCCTAACTGATGTGGTGGCAACCTGACCCACCTGATGTACCGTTAACTCTCATCGTTATCCTGCTTCCTGTGACTATTCAGACATTTTGCTGCAGAACTATTACCATGTTTCACTATCAGCTGCTACTCACACTGCACTGGGGGTGTGAGGTAACCTCTTAAAATCTGAAGAGTTCGGAAGTCCAAAATATACCCGCCCTGGCAGGCTTCAGACGAGGGGCGGTGCCCTGTACGATTTACTCTGGGGGAGTGTCGTCTGGCCTCCGAGCCTCAGTTTCTCAGACAACCGAGGGCCTGACTCAGGTAGACTCAGAGGCCCCTTCTGCTCTCCCGTCCCCGGTGCTAATCCCAGACATGCCAGCATCTATTATTTTGTTCTTGCTTTCAAATTTAGCATCATTATTTCTGAGTCAGACATTGGGACTCGCTATTCACTGCCTCTGCCTTGGCTGGAGGCCAAAAGGCGGTGGCTGGCAGTGAGGTCGCCCCCAGGTTGGACTTCCTGACTCCTCAGGCCTTTGGGAACCTCGAGAGGGGCTGCAGAGGACCCCTGTGATTGAAAGGGGAGGGGCCCACCTCAAGTCACCACCAGGAACAGGGGCAGAGGAAGGAGTAGGGAGGCAGACCCAGTTAATTCAGCCCAAGGATAATAAGCCCGTCCTTGAGGGATGGGGAGGGGGCAGCAAGAGCAGCCTGGATTGCCACTGGGACCCAGAGTCCATACAACCAGGAGGCTAAGGCTTAATGCTGGGCTGCCCGAGGGCCTCTGGGTTTGTGGCTCAGAACAGCCATGTGGGTGGGTCAGCCCTGGAGCATGTAGCCAGCAGGGATAAGCAGGCTGAAACCGGTGGGGCTGGTGAGGGCCGAAGACTGACAGCTGGACCACCCATCTCCAGAAAACGGGGAGCTAGAACAGGCTCTGCCCTGTCCTCTCCCCACTCCTCCGCGTCTTCCCTGGAGCGACACCAAGGGACAAGTGTGAGATCAGAAACAGCTTCTGCTTCTCAGCAAATAGCCCTCAGGCAGCAGCCCCATGGGCTCTTGTCCAGATGTGAGAAGGAACAGAGGGGGGAGTGGAGGGCGGTGGCTGCGAGGCCTAGGCCTGCCCCCGCAGGTGCCTGAGGAGCGTGGCTGCCCAGGGAGAGGGAGCCCTTGGCCTGAGCCCCCTGGACAGGAGGAGGGGAAGTGCTGGTCTAGGGATCATCGCGGAGTCCGGCTCCTCACTGCGTTTCCCTTGCCCTGTCTGTGCCGCAGGGCAGACCAGGCTCCCTCCAGGGACGGGAGAGAGGCCACTGTGGCCGCCCAGGGGTCCGCACTGCAGTTCTGGGCCCTTGTGAGCCATGGGCCCTTTGGGACTTGAATGAACGCTTGGACCCTCTCCCCAGGAAAAGGCAAAACTGCCATCATCTTACAGGCTTCATATGAAATGGGACCTGAGGTGTGGGAATCACCCAGTACCTGGAGGCGATGCCCTGGGTTGGAAACCTGGCCTGCTGCTCCCTTGCAAACTGCTCCCGAAGAAAACGCAGTGAGGTGACTGGAGCAGCTCACGGACCACAGGCATTTAACGCACGCTGCTCCCTAGGGGTTCTCAGAGCCACTGTTAAACCCAATAAGCTACAGGTACACCATTTCTTCTCGGGGTGGCGGAAATGCTCTAAAATCAGATCATGATGATGGCTGCACCAGTGTGTGACTGTGCTAATAGCTACTGAACTGGACACTTCGAAGGGGTGACCTTCCTGTGCCCCTGCTCTCTGACCCACAGCAGGGGCTTGGCCGGGTTCTCCAGAGGCAGCCTTGGGTCCTGCCCCAGCCGAGGGTCCAGAAACAGCTCCACCCCCGGGCTCAGAGCACAAACTCGGAAGCCAGACGAGCTGGGTAGGAGCCTGGCTCTGCCTCTTACGACCTGCGTGACCTTGAGCAGGTTATGTAAGCTGTCTGTGCTTCGGTTCATTTGCATAGAGGAGGTAGTAACCGCATCTGTGTCACAGGGCTGCTGTGAAGATGACAAGAGTAAATGTCTGTAACGCACTCAGCACAGTGCCTCGCGGTGGTGAGGACTGTGTGAGCAGGGCTGGGCGATTGCTGGTGTTACTGCGTGAGCAGGGCTGGGCTATTGCTGGTGTTACTGTGTGAGCAGGGTTGTGCGATTGCTGGTGTTACTGTGTGAGCTGGGCTGGGCGATTGCTGGTGTTACTACGTGAGCAGGGCTGGGCGATTGCTGGTGTTACTGTTGCGTGGAGGAGGTTGGCCTCCTTCCCTGTGTCTGGCACGTGGAGTGAGAGAGATGGAGGGAATGAGGTGACCTTGAAGCCCCTGACTGTCCCTCAGAGCAGCTCTTGGCAGAGATGGTAGGAGGGTGGTGGTGGGGG